CAGAAGGTTGAGAACCACTGGTTTAAAGTGAGGAAAACCTATGTATACACACACACACACACACACACACACACACACACCACACACACTTTTCCCAGCGAAAGCATTCATTTCAAGAAATTTTTGCATGAATTAAATTGGTGCTCAAGAAATGTGTATATCCCTTGGAGTTCATAACAAAATCTGGCCAATGGGAGACAGCGTTCCATTGCTCTCAGTCACTCAACAAATACCTGTTGAAAGGCAGTTGCCGTTATTTCCACGTGACAAGTGCCATCCAAGGCTGTGGGAAGTCCTATTTTGGGGTGAGAACATGTAAACAGGGAAACAAAAAAAAAATAATGTCCCCTTTAGGCCTAAGGAGATTTGGGGTGAGGCTCAATTTTGGGGAAAAGCCCAGAATAAAAGGGACTCTCATATCCTGGTGGTGGGAAGGATTTTATCCATTGGGGTTTTTATTATCTGTCCTATAAATACCTGAAATACAAACATGCAGCCAAACTCTAAATGCATTCATTTTTTTTTTTGCCATAAAACTAAGAATTCCATCTGACATTCCTCCCTGTAGTTTACTCCCACAAATCAGCGGAGATCATAAAAGCTATTTCTAGTGAGAGAAGAACAGTGTGGGGAAGAACATCTTGTGCTTAGGAGTTTTAGAGCTGTAAGGAATCTCAGGAATACTAGAAATTAAGTACGCCGCATATTTAGTGTAACGCCTTCAGAAACAAAATAGTAAAGCAGGTGAGGGCTGACCTGGAGGAGGCAGCCTGCATCCCAATGCTACATAGTCTTCATTTGTTTCATCTTGTTTTTATCACTTTCTCTGATGGACCATCCAGCCCCTTCGATGCCCTCTTTCTTCTTTCCGAGCCCGTCCCTTGTCTGTGATTCTCCTCCATGTGCTCCATCTCCCCACGTCTCCAGACTCTCACGCCCCCTGGGGATGCCTCTCCGCTCTGGCTCTCCCCCTGACTTCTCAGCCAAACCCAGTACCTCTTCCTCCTCCTGCCCACTGAACTCTTCTCTTTGGGGGTCTTCCGGTTGCTGTAACAAAGTGTCACAAATTGGGTGGCTTAAGGCAACAGAAATGTATTGTCTCACAGTTCTGGGGCCAGAAGTCCAAGATCAAAGTGCTGGCAAGTCCATGCTCCCTCTGAAACCTGTAGAGGAGAATCCTGCCCACCCCCCACCCCGCCCCCAGCTCTTCCAGGCGTCTGGTGGTGGCCATCAGTCCTTGGTCTTCCGTGACTTGTAGCTAAATCACCCCAGTCTCTGCCTCTATCATGACATGGCCTTCTCCTGTGTGGGTGGGTGTCGTCATGGCAATTGCCTCTTCTCATAAAGGCTCCAGTTAGCGCTGGCTGGTCTTTCTCAGTGTTTAAAGCACCAGCCCCAGCACTGAGGGGTCATGGGTTTGACCTCAGGTCAAGAGCACGTACCTGGGTTGCAGGTTTAGTCCCCGACCCTGGTGGGGGTGTGTGGAGGAGGCAGCCAATCGATGTCTCTCTCACCTCTCTCTGTTCCCCCCCTCTCCCTCCTCCCTTCCATTCTCTCTAAAAAGCAATGGAAAAAAATATCCTCGGGTGAGGAATGTTTAAAATAAATAAATAAAGACCAGTTACAATGGGTTCAGGCCCACCCTAAGGACCTCTTCTTCACTTGATTCTATCTGCAAAGACCCTGTTTCTAAATAGTCACCTTCGGGGGTACTGAGGGTTATGACCTCAATGTGTCCTGGGGGGCAAGGGGCAGGGAAATAGAATTTAACAACTAACAGATGTATGAGTAACATGTTAAGGAAGTGTTAGAAACTTCACCTTGGCAGGCAGAACAGGGAGGACTCCGGCAGGATTGATTTGTGACCTGTTGTGGAGACCACAAGGTTAGGGGGAATTGAGAACCTGGGCTGCCATTCCCACTGTGAGAGCCACCAAAGCCCAAGAGGTGGAAATAACTGGGCCCAGTCTATCAAAGATATTACACAGCACGTGTTAATGTAGAATCGCTAAATATTTAAAATTATACCAAAAAAAACCCTTCAGGACCCCTCTCAATCTCTTCTGTGCCTTCTCTACCCCTGTCATGTCTTTCACCTCCGCTCCCACGCTTTCTCCACCTTCCCTCTGGGGCTCCAGCCCTGACATCCTCTGAGAAATTCCAGGGGCCTTCTCCTTCCCCTGCTGTTGCTCGGAATTACCCCGGCCACCTTACTGCATACCCATCCAACTGCGGAGGAGAAAGGGGGGTGGGGGTGCTCTTAGGAATAGGGTGTTTCAGTCCATTCCAAACTTGACTCTGGGCAAATCTGAATAATTAAAAGGTGACTATAGTGTTAGTGATCCAGAAAAATAAAATAAAACAGTGTGTCAGCTTCTTCCTGGGCCTCTAAGCTTTGTGTCTCTCACCTCCCGGGGCCATGAACTGTACCAGGATGTTCTTTACACATTTCCTGTGCCCAGTCACTCAGCATCCTGGAACAGAACTTATCTCCACATTGAACACTGCACATCCGATCGCCCTGTTCCTCCTGGACTTTGAGCTTTATTAGTCCGGGAGGTGGGACAGGAAGGGAGGGAGAGGGACGTCACTGATCAAGGGTTCTAGGAGGGTTAGCAATGCAAAGGTTGATTCATGGGGGTGGGGCAGGGAGGACTTGGCCCTGAGAAGTCTGAGGCTGGGAAAAGGAGACAGTGATGGTCGGAGCGCAAATTAGACACTGGAGCCAAAATAACACTGAAGGGTCAACGCGTTAGTTGTAACTTCTGTCTTCTTGTCTCCACCCCCCTTCCTGGAGGGGAGTCTTGTCTTGTTGACCAACGTCTTTCCAGCACTCACCCTCCTGCCCTGCCCGGCACACAGCAGACGCCAGCCTCTTTGACCATCTTTCATGTCTTCTAATTTGCAAAGCTCTTTCCTATTGCTGAGCCTCAGCCCAAACTGAAAACACTTGGTTTGATCTGGACCGCTTTCTCTTTCAACTAATGGCTCCTTTTCATGCTTTGGTTCACAGCTTAAATGTTAGCTCCTGGAAGAACACACGTTCTATTTAAATTGCACACACACACACACACACACACACACACACACCATGCACGTGCTAGCCTTTATCACAGCATCCTAATTATTGTTTTCATAGCCCATCCCACAATCTGCAATGGTGTCTTTCTTGTCTAGCTCCTCTACTTGCCTGTAGGTGCTAAGAAGAGAAAATTCACATTCGTCTTATTCATTGTTGTAGCCCCAGCAACCAGCACATCCAAAGGCTTTCAATAGATAAAAGTTAAGGAACAAAAGAATGAATATATACACTCAGAATTTAATAAACCTGTCAGAATTTTCATACGATATTACACAGGAATTTTGGCATAAACTAAAAATGGCATCTTAGGCCAGAAGAAGAAAGATGAATTATTTATTAACTATCTAGGATCGACTGAATAACCCAAATGAAAGCTGACTCTATTCCTTCCTTACTCTCTATCAAAATCAGTTCCAAATGCCTCGAAGATGTAAGCCTTAAAAAATGAAGTCATTAAAAGAACATGAAGAAAATGTACAAGAAGTTTTAATCATCTTAATGCAGAGATGTTTTTCTAAGCAAGCCAAAGAAGGAACGATTGATATAGATAAATACATAAGCACTTAACACTTCCTTCACACACACATACACACTCAAAACATACTCAGAGACAAAAGACAAACAACAAAATAATTGTTACACTCGACAAAAGCCCTGGCCTTATTATAAACCTCGTGTTGTTGCATATAAATAATGAAAACACTACTAACTCAAAATAAATACAAAGGACATAAGCAGACCACAGGAAAATTCATGCAACATGGCTTTAAAAAAATGGGATATATAATTTTAAGAATTTCAAAGGAAAGGAATGTACATTAAAAAGTGAGGTAACCATTTTTCATCTTTGAAAGAGGCAGAAATGAAAAACCTTAATACTGTTTAGTGTTGGCCAATATGTGGAGACATGCGCACTGGCATATTATCAGGGGGCATACATTCTGTCTTTTGAAGGTCAGCCTCATCGGGTCAGCTGGTCTTGGAGCATTTTTATGTCTATGCGAAGGACAATTTGGCAACCCCTACTGGAATTTTAAATGCACATACTCTTTGGCCAGCAATTGCATTCTAAGATTTTATTCTACAGATAAACATGGACACATATGCAAAGATTCATGCAGAAGACCAAAACAACCGAAATGACCTTGAATAGTGGACTGATGAAATAAGGTTTGGTTCATACCCATAATAAGCTACCATATGGTCACTGGGGGAAAATATGCCAATGACATGTATGTGTTTAATATAGTGAAGCAGACAAGATATGGAACAGAATGCATTGTACAAACTCATTTGTTGAGAGAGAGAAAAAGCAGTCCAGAGGTAACAGACAAACAAATAAATGGACAGACAGATACACATTTCTGGAAGGTACTCACAAGAAACCACTACGGGAGGGACTGGGAGCTTAGGAGGGTTATTTTTCATGATAACTTTTTATATTATGAGCAAAAAAGTTTACTAAGTGCACTTATTACTTTTTAAAATTTAAAAACCAGCTAAATTATAAAGTTAATAGCATAACTCAGTGTAGCCCTCAAAAAGATTTTCTGTTCTAATAAAAGTGATGTTAGTAAAATAGAAAGATTTTTCAGCCTGGTTAGTGCTTTTACTATTACAAGGCATAACATTTTAAATGAACACCCAAAATTTAAGAAAAAAATACACACATTTCAATAACCTAAGAGACAGGTTTAGTCCTTTAGTTGTGATTAGGTTATTAAACTTAAAAACCCTACGCTTGACTTACTAATAAATATTTCATTATAAAAAGGGCCTGCCAAGGCAGTTTGGACAGGTTAAGCTCATTTGTAGATATGGCCGCTCCCGACCCATCCCCAACAGTGTATTCAAATTCAGTGCCAAAGGTTACTTATTAAGCTCAAGAGATCGTATGTCCTGGGAAAACCATTATCAACTTGGCCTTTAGGAGAGCTGATCTCTTCATAAAATACAGAACAAATATCTCAGAAAAACGAAAATGGGCAATCATCATGTAAGTATTTATTGCCTTTGGGAATCGAATACAGTTTTCCTTTTGGTTATATAGCGTGTGTAGAAATTTGAACTATGAAATCATAATTAATACTTTTATACTTTATGATTGTGGTGACTCCTTATGACTGATTTTCACAACAGCGTATCATGCTTTTAAAATGCAGTTAGAATGTATTCCCCTCCTCCCTCCCCCCACCCCCGTTAATCAAAAATCTCTTAGGAGAGAGATTAAGGTGGTGATGAAGATTCTTTCAGGGATGTGTTTAAAATGAGGTGCCTTGCAGAGAGCAAAATGGTTAATATGTATTTGTGGAATGAATGACGAGCGCTGTTAGTAGCAAAGATGCACAAAAGTTCATAGACTGATCATCAGAGTTCTGCAGGGAAGGCAGGGTTCTTGCAAAGATCAGTAGACCAAGGTAAAAATACTCCTACAAGGCCATATAACTTGGATTAAAAGCTGAAAATGTTCCAGTGTTATTTCTAAACAGCATCAAATATCCAGACATTTTGCAAATATCTAGGAAATGGACTCAGTATTTTACTTTTCTTCTGAAATACCTAGGCTCATGTGAAAAAAAAAAAGTGTCTAAATCACTGATAACGAACAACTGACTAAAATACTACCATTTGGAACCAACTATGCACAAGGCAGGTCAGAGTAAAATCTTGAAAAACTAATAGCTAAAACTGTTACAGTAAGACTTTTCCTAAGGTTTTGTTGCACCTACTATGGCTTCCCACAGCAACAAAATGATTTCTTGTGTGAGCACGAGGAGCAAAGAGAACAAAACTCCAAAATGTTCTGGAAACTCTAACTTGGTTTGTATGGGTTTTTTCCTTTGCTATAAATTAAACGTGCACTCACATGGTTGCAAACCCACAAGTTCCTTCTTCAGAGAGGCATTATTTTTTAAATCATCTATAAATAACATTACATACTAGCCAAGATTATGAGCCCTCCAGGCAGTATATCTTTCAGAGAAACTGAAACCTATTCCTCTCCCCTGGCAGTTTAGTAGGGCATCTCATCCCTTGCAAGTCAACCCCACGGGGAGCTGGCCTTTGTGAGTGGTCTAGCATTTTTATGTCTTTCTCTTTTGATTCTTCAGAGCCAGTCATACTGCCTCTCAGAGGGCAGTCAGCAGTTGCCCAAAGGGGACACCCCACACTCGGCAGCCGTGCAGCCGCTCAGCCGCCCGTCAGGGAGTGGACAGCCAGAGCCCCATCAGCCTGTAAGCACGTTTTCCCTCCACACCATAGGTATGACTGGGCTTTCGTATGAGCCCAGTGTTACTCGCCACCACTTGTCTTAGCGGCCCCTCTTCCATCCTCCAGTCTGAAAACGCCATCACCAGGCATTACTTCCAAGCAAGGAAACATTTCCCCCAGAAAACGTTTGCTATGATATTTTCAGCTAATTTAAAAATGTAATCTAAGCACCGAGCTTACATTTCCAACAGTGTCCCCTTAACAGTGCCTTAAGATGCAGAGCATGAGGCTACAATATGGCCACCAGGACATTTTTGAAAATACTAACAGAATTTAAGGTGTGCCCAACGACTGAATCTGTTTGAAGACTATGTTGCTAAATGAGTAGATGCAAAACTTTTTGGAAGTATAAAACATTGTCCCAGTAATAACTTAAATGACTTGCATTAGAAAGTTACTTGCGCTCAGCTGGTATGTTTTGGTGGTTGAGCATGGACCTATGAACCAGGAGGTCACGGTTCAATTCCTGGCCGGGGTACATGCCTGGGTTGTGAGCTTGGTCCTCAGTAGGGGGCATGCAAGTTCCTTCAAAAAAAGAAAGTAACTTGAATATAAATTTAAGACAATGTTTGTAGTTCTGAAGAACTATATAACCAAAACAAATTTTAAAAAATTAAATACTAGTAAAATATAAGCTGATGGAGTGCAAATGTATGTTCTTGCTTTCGTGTAATAGATGATGTTATTTTGCTGAGATTAAATGGTCTTGTTCAATGTGAAAACGGTCCTGATTGCTATGATGTGCTGTGTGACTTCTTAGTTCTCTTATCACGTTTCTCTATCCAAACTACTGATATACTTTTGTTTATAAGACTCTCTGCAATATAATTGGGCCTCCTCTTGGCTGAAATGCAAATATTAAACCTCCCTCTGTTTTTTGTTCTTTTATCATTATCCTGCACAATTAAAGTATGGCGATTTGGCATATATACAATCATAAGTAGACACACAAATGCAGGCATTGAAATCATGAGTCTTGGTCATGACTGGCCATGCTGATGATGTAATATGCTTTATATTAGTTTGTAAGTTATCGGCTTTCACTATACTATTTAAGAAGCCTACCAGGAGAGGTTTGAATCCCCAAGAATATGCCCACAGACCAGGGTTCTACAGATAACTGTTTGGCGAATATTGCTCTAAAGCCAACAGTCTTGGCCAGAAGATTACATTTTCCAAGGTACTATAATATGGAATACTAGCCAATTCTAAAAACTGAAAATTACTTTTGTCGCTTTGTGCTTTACCCCCATCCTCTTGTCATGAGTAATGATTTTTTTTTTTAACTAAAGACCTAGTGTTTGTGACTCGCCTATTTGGAGCAGTAATAAGATACCGGGTTATTATCATTTGCTAAATCACACAATGTTCAAAGAGTCTGCTGAGCCTAGAGGGCATATCCTTGTATATCCTTGTGCTCGATGACTTTGTGCACAGACAGAAAAATAAGATCCACAGAAAAATATGCTTCGGTTTAGCCAATGACACTCGAGTATACCATGTGCACTGTTTTCCAGAGAATCGGAATCTAGAGGGAGAGAGAGTACTGAGATCACGTGAGGTGACTTTGCCATAGAGTGTGGCTGTAGGGTATTGGTGGAGAAATAGAGAGGGAGTGAGATATAGGGGGACCATTGATATATAAGGAAAAAATCACAAACTTAAGAGGACTAATGATTTCTGGAAAATTACTTTCAAGGCTGATGAAGGCCCACTAGACAGGATTAAGGTCTTGTCTTGCTACTCAAAGTGTGGTCTCTGGAAGGGTGGCAGCATCCACATTTTTGCCTGAGCGCTTATTAGAAATGTAGACTCTCAGGCCCACCCAGACCTACTGAGTCGAAAATCTGCATTTTTAACAAGATCCTCAAGTGATTGCACTGAACTGGAGAACAAGTTCTCCAACTGCACACTGGGGAGTTCTAGAAATCACAGATGTCTGTGTCCCACCCCCAGAGAGTCTGAATTCATTGGGGCCTGGGCATTAGGATTGGCAACTGTTCCCCAGGCGATGTTAATGGGCAGCAGAGTTTGAGAAACACGGGCCTGGAGCACACCAGCACCCGTACAAGGACAGATCAGCACCCTGCCCACAAAGGCAGGTGCCATTGTGAGTGTCCATAAATGAAAACCATGAGCCTGTGAATGTGGGAACATCTGCTCAGCACCCTGCCGTGGTGTTTGTGAACATGCCACGTTTATGACTTCCTTGTGCCAACGTAAATATTGTCTAAAAGGGAGAGCAGTTTGGGACTTGCAGCAGGTAAACACCAGGCAAATTCAGATGAAGGTGGATAGGAACACCTGGGAGTCATGTGACACAAGGGGAATAGGTCTGGATTCCCAAGAAAAGGAGGGAGGCCCTGGAGGTAGGTAAAAATGTGATGGGAATTTGGGATAAAAGGGAGGGTCGTTTTAACTGAGAGTATGTGTTAAAATATGACCCCAAAAGCCAAAGAAATGTAGTGAACCCCACGCAGAAACCAGCCTAGACCAGGCAGCCATACCTCTCTTATCAGGAAAACTTTTATTTCAGAAAGTGCGTCCTCAGACCACCACCATGAGTGTAAGAGGAAACTAAAAGGCCCTTGAACGTCAAATTATGGCATCCACCACAGCACACCTTCTTTGATTGGAACAAAAAGAAAGATAAAAATGTTTTTAAAAATTTAAAGAAATAATTAATAGGTTTGGATCCAATGCACATCTAAACTCCCTTCCCAGGGGGAATAGTAAGATCCATTGTTTTGATTCTGATTGAGACAGAAATTTGCTCAAAGCAAATTTAGCTATGTCACCTCATTTCCTTTCCAGCAAATCAGAACTTGTTCCTATCATTGATGATGCTCTACTACACAGCACCATTCAGTGCTGCACTGGCCCAGCTCAGCCCCCAATATTTTCTCTTTTCAATTCCACCTGACCCACTTATCATTGACTCTTGAGGATTCCAGAGCACACTAGCTTCTTTTTTTTCCTGCAGGCAATGAATCCTGAGTTCATACCTTCATTAAATTGGCAAAGAAAACAGCCTTTGGCAATCGAAGAAGGAAATGGATAATTCTTTTCTAGTGAGGAAAGTGCTTCATTTTTCCTAACTCTTGAAGGCATGGTTTCTTTCACTATTGAGAAATAGCCAGTATCTCCCCACTACCACACTGTCTTCCCGGTTCACTTTTGTTGAGGCCATACAGCAGTAATTGGATAGCTAGAGGTTTAACACTCCTCAGGGGTCTCTAACTCCCCAAACAATCTGTGGACAACCTCAAAGCAGTCATTTTCACCAGGACACAAAATCTTATTTCCAGACAATGCATGTTACTCTGCCTCTAGAAGGAAGTCTGAGTTCTCTGGCCCAACATGATACTACAGGGCCCCTAAGAATGAGTCAGCTGAGGCTGCTGGTGGAGACTGCGATGCCTCCAGACAAAGCAGGGAGGTGATGACAGGCTTCTCCCTTTGGACGGACTTTAACTCCAGCCCTTCCTCCTAGTGGCCTCATCCCTGCATTCGCCTTTCTGATTTGTCACCTGGGCTGCTTAAAAAAAAATTAAAGACCCCATGGTCCACTTCTAATCTTCCCTCTTAGGTAACTGGCACAGTTTGCTCGTGGTGACTGGGATCTTGCTTTAGTCGGTACCTACGTGCCATTTACCAGGAGAAGCTCAGCCTTCTCAACACCTTTTAAACTAACGTGTTGACAGAATTGTTACAACCACTAGGCCAAGGTTGTAGCCCCTTAGCACCTTAGATCTTGGCACTATTGACATTTGGGGCCAGAGGATTCTTTATGGTGAGAGGCTGTCCTGTGCCTTGTAGGGTTTTGGGCAGAATTCCTGGCCTCTATGACTGGATGCCAATAGCACCTCCCCTATTTGTGACAACTGAAAATGCCTCTAGACATTGCCAGGTGTCCCCAGGGAGGCAAAATCGCTCCTGGTTGGTTAGGAATCACTTCATTGGGCACAGATGGGAAAGCAAGGCTATTGGGTAGGAGATGACCCCATAATATCTTTATCTGGCTGAATTTCCACCAGCAACCATGAATTTCTGCTCGCTCCTCTGGCCCAGGCATTCCCCCACACTGACTGCCTCTTTTATCACCAGGTAAAAGCCGATTCATCTCGCACATTGACCCTTGTAGCCCCGTTGGTGACAATAGAAACTGAGAGGCAGCGGTTTTCCCCCAAAAGGCTGTTAGTCCATCAGTAACTGCTGAGGGCCAGGGTGAGAGGGCTTTTCTGCAGAAATACCCAGGAATGAGGCTGCGGAGCTGCTGGTTCTCCTGCCTAGATGAGCCAGGCTCACCTAGAAAGATACTGAGTGAAACTCACCCCTCTGTTTGGGCGCAGCCTCCATTCAATCTCCCTATACCAGAGCCCACTGCACTGTAGGCCCATCTTATCGTATGCACTTCTAAGTATATTGTCAGTGCTTTCAGGAATAACGGCGCCTAAGATCTTCTTAAGGTCAGGTCTCAACCCCATAGTCACCTTTGACTGGTAAATATCACATTGACGGATAAATATCACACTGACAGGTACAACCCAGGGCATAAGCTAAGAAAGCTTATTTTTCTGGAAACAACCTAACTATATAAATCTTCATCAAAAGATGTTCTTAATATGACAACATTTAAGTAACCTCAAACTTAGAAGAAAGATTATTTTTTTAATCTAGAATGTTTCACTCAATTTTCATAGTCATTAGCAAGATATGTAAGCAAATCATATTGGGATGTGATCCAAGCCAATGTTTTGTTTTGCTTTGTTTTTCCAGCCTTATCTGCCAATGATGCAAATATTCCTACTCATTTAGACTGATGGCCAATACTTAATTTGTACATGGCATTTTGAGATTGCGTCTTTGAAAAGATGGATCAATAGCAATAAACAGCTCCGTGCATTCTCAGCACCCTGCTAAGGTTGAGCAGAGCCCAGGTTTCCTAACATACTTTCCTAGC